CCTGGTGGCCACGGACTCCAACATTAAATTGGACGAACAGATGAGAAACGTCTTTGAGCGGACTCGATGCTACCATGGTAACGACTGTCAGAAGTGTTCTAGTGACATAAACATAATACCGAAACCCGTCTCCCAGACACTAGAACGATGTCAACCAGTGCGCCAATCATCATCCGAGTCTCTCGGTCTCACATCTGGCCTACTGAGTCAGTGTCATGACCTTCTTGAATCCACGGAATTTATACCGTACGACGTCCATAACATCTCTAACAATCGATCGAACTCAGATATTCGGCTCCACTCGCCTATGACCAATACCGTTTCTGTGTCTAATATTGATCCAAGTAAACCGAATTTCTGTTCGACTGAACGCCGGTGTATTCCGTTTCCACGTCCAGATTTCCAAAGTCAATGTTACCGTAAAAATTCAAGTACTGAGCAGAACAAAGCAACCGTTGTCGGAATCCAGGAGGACATAACTCCTATAGACTCGTCCAGTATTGAAGTTGCGCAATTTGTTGATGTTGACACGACGGTTCCAGAACAAATAAGCACGTGTTCTTCAAATATCTGTGCTACAAAGCACTCTGCGGGGTCGCCAATTGCGCGCACCAATAGCAGTGAGTCTTGCCTCGAGTCAAACTCGTGGAGCACCGTTCAGCCGCCGACTGCTTATGGACTACCAGTATCGGATGGTAAGCCTACGGATGATTCTGGTGCTAAAGATACAGAAACACACATTTCGTCAAATGCACGATCGGTTATTGTTCCCTCGCCCAACTGCCACAGAGCAGGCAAAGAACTTTTTAACCCCAGTCTATCGAATAACCCAAGGGAAGACACTGATAGTGACGCCATCCTAGAACTCCACAAAGCTTCTGTGGGTGTCGACAAACACAAACTGTGTCCAAAATCGGTTAGTCCAAACAAGACAACTAATGCTGATATTAGTCAAGTTTCTGATGAACCACCACTGAACTCATCAGACCACGCTAAATGTCCAAAATCATCATGTCCTGACAAAACGGCCAACCATCATTTAAGCATAATGGTAAAGAATTGTGAGAAAGATGGACCCGAGTCTGTGTTTGTCGAAGATGAAACCAGTGTTTACATGTACTGTGAGTTCGAGTCTTCGGACGACGCTCAAGCGGGAGAAGATAACACAGAGACATCAGATCAGGCTCTATCACCGAGAGATTGTCACGAGGGTGGGACGGACGCCCGCTCAAAAACTGGGGACTTTGCAAAAGATGACAGAAGAGATGATGTTAACCAGGATCGTAAACTCAACAAGCGATTCGCAGATCCAGCAAATCTTATTAGCGAGCCCAACTGTAAAAGACGACGTGCTTTAATTCAAAACGACCATGAGTTTCCAAAAGGCGGCTCACTAGAACTAGTACCCTGTAGTGGCGACAACCCCAACAATTTCCTTTTGGATAAGTCTAAAAGTAAAGGCGATGAACACAGTCAATGCGATCTACGGGTATCAAGTAGATTGGGCAGGCCGCGATCGGACAGATCAACACGCAGCAGACGGACACACAGACGATAATAGTGAGAATTCAATTTTACCGTCGTCCCCAATCTTTAATGCAACATTTAGTGTAGCATGACAACAGCTGTCTTCTGCTAGGACCAAGAACATGTGGTCAGAATTTCTTAAAAAAGAACAATCAAACCAACAGAAGATTTTACCAAAGTGACAATTTATGACTACAACACAATTCCCCCGATTGACTGCACCAAAGCAAGAGACGATTTTACCAAAGTGGCAATTCATGACTACCACACAATTCCCCCGACTGACTGCACCAAAACAACAGACGATTTTGCCAAAATGACAATTCGTGACTACAACACAATTCCCCCGACTGACTGCACCCAAGCAACAGACAATTGTACCAAAGTGGCAATTCCCCCGACTGACTGCACCAGTGCAAACTGCCCATAAAGTGCTTGGAAATATTGAATTGGTAGCTTTTGTGAATATAATCCAATGTCTTTCTTGTCAGTTAATGACATCATTAAATGTCTAACAAAATATGTACCCGATTTGGTTGAATAATATCTGTCGTTCAACCGGTTTATACATAATTTGTTGTAATTTTAATTAAAATTAGCCTTTTATTTTATCATACTGAATGTTGAATATGCATATTAATACAGAAGTCCTATCCGGAACTTGCAATATTCTCGAACAATGTACATTAATTCTCTCGATAAAATGAAATGGGGTTTAACGTCCTACTGTTCTGCTCCAAACAGGGCTAATGAAGACGGGCATACGCCATACAGTCTGCTATGAGGAAAATTTTGCCCGGACAGCGGCACTACAGCCTACTCTTATATCTTTTACGTGCACGCCAATGTGTACACGGGACCTCAGTGTTTCGTCCCATCCGGACGACTAGACAGCTATCTTTGTCAGGCCCTCCGTCCTGCATCACTGACAAGAGAGAACAACGCCGGAAAATCTGGATGAACTTTCTTGGCCAATGCATGGATCCAACACCCGACCTCCAAGCTAGCGAGCCAGCGTTTAACCCACTTAGCCACAATATTGCTGATTTAAACTGCGCGAGCGTCATTTTCATGGCATGTAAATAAAGTAAATAAGGATGTTATTAAAATGTTATATCTTAAAGATATTCACGATTGACCTAACTCACATTATTCATCCAATTTGAATGTACAGGATTTGAATCTCAGCATGGGCCGAGATGAATCCAGTCTGATTAAAATACAGATCTATATTTCGTTTCGGTTTTTTTTATACTTTCGGTGGCTTCTACTACATGACGATCTGATCGAGGGGTTGGTGGCCGAATGGTTAGCACGTGAGCGCTGTATTATAAGGTCTGTCATTGAGTCAACTGGCGTGGTTTCGATTCCTCGGTTGTACGTGACAAGGAGTAGGGTCGCCTGTCAAACCTCGTGGGTTTTCTCCGGGTCCTCCCACTGCTAAAGACCCCTACGCTTAAGCGAATTATTGAAATAAAATTGAACCATGTGTTAGTCCCGAAATGACCTAGTTTTTGTCGAGTGGACGTTAAATCCCATTTCTCTCTCTTTTCGCGTTCGATCACTGCGTTGGCCGAGAAACTTCACGTATATAAATTCTGTTTCGATAAGTAGTCTATAGACATTTAATTAACCAATCAGCGTTGATGTGTCTAGTAGGATACCCACAGTTCCGTGCATCGCAGGCAAGGAAATCGCTGTAACAGACCGTTTCATTGGCTAATACCTCACAACAACCAGAACGCGGGTTATTTAACACTCTTCCAGATCTTAGTGTAGTAAAGACAAGTAAAAGAAAATTTTGAACTATAAAAAACGAAACGAAATAGGATCTGTGTTTTAATCATATTTCAGATCTCTATCGCATTATTTCTGTTACGTCTTTCTTGTAATTCATTTTTTTTTTCATTTTGAGTAAAGCCTGTACCATTACAGGCCCGGGACTATACGGCGAATCGGCGCTTACGGCTGGTCCCCGGATAAATTCTCTTGATTTGTTGTTTATTTCTTGCAGTGTCTATGTAGTTTGTCTTATACGCGGGTCTGTTTTGTCGATTCTGTTTGCATGTTTTACGGTCGTCCTTCTACTAGAGTTGTCAAGTCAGGTTCTTATTTGTCAGGGCTAGTCCCTTCTGACCGGGCAAGTAAAATGTTAAGTCGTGTAAAGCCCTTCAGAAGGAAGGAGGCGGGGGGGGGGGGTGACTTATTAGTTTTTGTATAAACAATATTTTTGTTCAGTAAATATCTGAATGTTGATTGGAGAACAGACTCTTCCACCCATCCTCAGTATCCCCCGGGTTCATTCACGGGAGAGATACATTGTCAAATTATCCGCCCTTGGTACTTGTGCTATATTAAGGGGATGCTCGATTGTCAGCCCGGAACGTCCAGAATTGACAGAATTGCAATCAAGTGATACGGAATTCAGTCCTGTCACAGTTCTGTCAGTCCGGACAGCCGAGTTGGTGTGAGTAAAATCGTGACGTTCTTTAAGTAACAAATATGTTTCAGCTGTCATGATTGGTTGAGATATTTTTTATACAGTCGGCACATGCGTTGTATTCCGAAATTCCCCATTTCACTCGATTGACACTATTTTTGGAACTGAGGGAATTTAATTCCGGAACGTTCAATCGAGTATCCCCTTATAGACCAATCAAGTGGGCTAAGGGAAGTAACTCCCATTTTACTGCAACTAAGACTATTGTAGTGAACGTATTGGATTCGTGAAAACCCCATGGTATCCTGGAGTATAACGGAACAATACCACTTGGGGATATCGTCGATGTCTTACACCAACATTCCCAATGTCCCAAGCAAGGTTGTCTTCTTTTGTAGTATCTAGACTTGTGTGGAGAATGTCATCATCCATCAACATTCTCTATTGCAACTTCAATCCAACCTCTTTCACTCACAATCCAACCTCAACCACCCACAAACCTCAACCACTCACAATCCAACCTCTGCCACCCATACTCCAGCCTCTTCCACTCACAATCTACCTCAACCACTCACAATCCAACCGCCACCTGTCATAATCCAACCTCAACTACCCATAATCCAACCGCATTACCTCCTTCATCCAACCCCTGCCTTTCTTTTCCTGCTCTAGTTTGTTGGTTCTCATCACCATATATTCGACTGTAAAACCCTATACTTGGGTAGTTATGAATATAAAAGTCTATCAACCTTTGGACAAAGAGGGTTTGCTGTTGCTGCTGCTGGAAGATATTATTTACTCCCAGTTGAAATGCGTTTTGTGACTTCTTCGTAAATCTTCAAGTTCAAATCTGGATTAAAACCCCATCTTTTCAGAATTCATTACAAAAATTGACAAAAATGCTTAGAGCAATGAACTTTTGTTTATAGTTTTTGTCTGGGCTATGGGGACATTTTGTGGATTTGGCGCTATATAAATGGAGATACATGTATCATCATTATCAAATATAAACATATACAGAAATATATTTTACTTTCCAGATGTTTATTTACAGTCTCTAAAACAAATACAAATTATGACATACATATATAAAAAAAAAAAAGTAACACATGATTTGGAAATGGTTACCTTGCCATTGATCATCAGTGGAAAGAGAGAGAGAGAGAGAGAGAGATTATAAGCACTTTCTCATATCTGTTGATGGAAATTAAAAAGTGTCCTATATTAGAGAATTGTACTTTTTGATTTATTCGAAATATTAGTGAGAAATCACTGTGCCCCCTACAAGGCCTCCCAAACAAAGCACTACACCACTGTTCATCAGTATAGCTGTTGACACTGACAATGACCTCCATTCCATATAGAGATCAGGTCATATCGGTGAACTTAAATGAATGAAACTCAACCAACAGGTAATTCCCAGAATTATGGGCACACATCATGCAACATTGGATTAACCAAAACTTTTTAGTGGCTTAGCCACCATATTAAACAGATCAAGGTTTATCTAAAAACTCCCAGATCCTACTGTCATGAAGAACAATAAAATAATATCTGAATATGAAATACGAAACAAAATCAAGATGTTTGTTTTAATCAGATTAGGGAAACCACAAGATTCTCAGAATCTGAACCACAAATTAATGGATTCTGTTTTATGTAAAAGTTTGAAACTTTGGCAATTCACATAAAATGACAAATTTCACTGCAACATAATTTGTAGATAAACTCCAGTATTTCAGATCAGTACTCTTTAACAAAAAATACAGGGATTCTTGCCGATTCCCATGAAAATTATCTAATGTTTTGGTATGATTTCATCATCATATAAAGCAGCTTACACTGTAACCCAGGTATTATTTTATCTTGTGTATCTAGCACTAATTTCTTTCACATTTGTTTAATATCAGAACTTTGTTTAAAATTTCGTAAAAATCGTTAAAAAATCACCAAAAATCAACTAATTTGTACTTGTGTCCAGTTTAAAGCTAACTGATTAATTATGATAATGAGTCTCCAATTTCCTGACCATTGTTCAAGAATGAATCATTATACATCAATAATCAATTGGGTTGTTTATTTTTTAACAGTGATCGAGAAATAAAACACTTGTAAAATGGACACTCATTATCAAAATTGAATGGTCAGCTTTAAACTGGACAGAAGTACAAATTAAACGATTGATAGTGATTTTAATCAGTTTTTACGAATATTTAAACAAAGATTGGATATTAAATGAATGTGAAAGAAATTAGTGCTAGATACACAAGATTAAATGATACCTGGGTTACAGTGTTATAAATCATGTTTTTCAACAGTATCCAGTATAATTCATTTTGGAGGTAGATGTGTTCAGTCTGTTTTTTTTCCTTGTTTTTTTAAAGTATTCATCACATTTTGAGATTGGCAAATGTTTTGTTACAATTTCACTATCATATAACAGCTTTCTAATGTTGAACGAGACATATTTATATAAAAACGTTTTCCCCATTGTATGAGGAGGCAGTTTTGTCACTGCATCCAGTGTGGTTTATTTAGGAGGTAGATGTGTCCAATCTATAGGGTTTTGTCCTTGTTGTTTTAAGAATTCATTACATTTTGAGAAATGTTTACATCCCATGAAACCACGATGAGCTGAGAGGGGAGATGGATGAACAGCTTTAAGGATGTGATGTTTCTTCTGCAAAAAGAAAAAAAAAGTTCTTAATTCAACATGAACCCGGTAATTGATTGACTTATATATAATACATCAATTTTAGTAGCACATTGGGGTCTTTAGCAGTGGGATAGACAGACATCCTTACTCCTTGTCACATACTAATAGTGAATGGCAGAGAGAGAGAGAGAGAGAGAGAGAGAGTATAACATCCACTCAACACAAACTAGGTCATTTCGGGACTAACACATGGTTCAATTTCATTTCAATAATTCGCTTGCACATGGGGGTCTTTAGCAGTGGGAGGAAACCGGAGGATCTGGAGAAAACGCCGATGAGCCTACTCCTTATCACGTACAAACCACGCCAGTTGACTTAATGACAGACCTTATGATACAACACACACGCCCTGACCATTCAGCCATCTAAGCCCCCTAAACACGAAAGGTGTAAAATAAAAATCCTAAGTACCTTATCTATACAAGCTCCCTTCTTCTGTGCATAGGCTCCCCATAACATAAATACCACTCCAGTTGAGTTTTTATTTACCCAATTTATAACAGCATCAGTTAGTTTCTCCCAACCCTTACCAGCATGTGAGTTAGCTTGATGAGCTCGAACTGTTAAACAAGCATTTAACAAAAGCACTCCTAAAATTAAAATAAGTCAAATCATGTTTAGATATTTTTTTTGGACAATTAGGTAATAACATCTACTTTTGATTCAATTACAAAGAGTTAATTATTACGCGTTGGCTATAATTCAAAACGTCACACCGTATTGAGGATCCACCATGTCGCCAATGACGGATTATTCTATGGTATTACATGAATTAAAATTATGTAAGATGCTAGCTCACTACCCAGGTGGACTTGGTATCATTCCCGGTGTTGGTAGGAAAAGTTCTTTAGGATTTTCCAGCCGTTTTTCCTTATATCAGTGGTGCAGGATGGAGGGTCTAGCAAGAAAGTGAAGGAATAGTATCTAGTCGTACGGATGGAGCGTAAAATCTGACACAATGGCATACAAGTAAAAGAAGAATAGTCCAAAACTGCTCTGTTCAGGTAAACTTTGCCTCATAGCACACAGCAGGGTGTGTCATTGTGTCCATCATAACTAGCCCACTTCATACAGAAAATAAAACCTTAAACCTCGATTTTATTTCATTTTATTTTCAAATTCTATGACATCTTGTTATTAAATTTACTCAAATTAGCTCTGTCATACATACTGTATATATTCTACAATAATTAATGAATAATAAAAATATCTTGCAATAATAGATTTAATATATTAAAGAGTATTTTCCTACCTTGTTCTGCCCAGCCATTAAGAGTTCCATGAGTAGGTATTTGAAACCCATCAATATCATTAGATAATTCTTTATACATATTCACTAAACTAAATAAAGAATAAACACAGATTAAACTCTGCATACATTATATTCTAAACAACATATCTAACAGTGCAGAAACATGCTACAAGCATTAATCTCAACATTTTAAAGAGGGGAGAGAGAAATGGGGTTTAACATCCACTCGACACATACTAGGTCATTTCGGGACTAACATATGGTTCAATTTTATTTCAATAATTTGCTTGCACGTAGGGGTCTTTAGCAGTGGGTGGAAACCCATGAGATTGGACAGGTGACCCATTTTAAATGGATTGTCCTTGTGTCTGGTTACGATACGTTGTGCTTATATAATAAAAATAATAAAACCAGTGACCGTTTCCTCAAAAAATTGTGTTTTGTTAATGTTCTAAATTGCACAACTCTGTAAATAACCGTGCAATGTAGTCTGTTCCCTAATTTAAAAGTTTCCAGATTTTCATTTTTAAGGCACTTTTGAAACATACAATATTGTAATGTCTGAGCTGTATTGTTTGTTCAGTTTGTGTTGTGTTGTTCAGTTTGTGTTGTGTTGTGTTGTGTAATATATTTTAGAAGTTATATTATTCTTACCTTGGTGGTGGTTTAACCCCTTCCTGTACACTAAAACATAAACCTGTAAATATACAACATACCTGATATAGTATTACATGGATCAGAAACCGAGCATGACATCATCACCGCCATCATGGAACTGTAGCCTGACAATCGATGCACAATTGCCCAAGGAACAAGCATGCCAAGTTTCATGTCAATCATACTTGAATAGGCGGAGAGCAATACAAGATGAGTAGCGCCTACGCATCAGTTTCTGGTTCAAATTACCCTATAACTTCAATCCCCATTCATATAGAGTAGACTGAAGGACTGTAGTCAAGATTGGACATCCATGGAATTCAATCGCCCCATCCATATAGAGTCCAGCCTAGTTCAGATTGACAATCAATGAATAATGGGTGTTACCTCTTTGGTTTTAACATCAGTCACTATTTTATGGTATACTTACCATGAGCTTGTTTAGGTCCATGATAGGGATCTTGTCCTAATATTACAACTTTAACCTAAAATACAGAAACCAATCAAAATGATAGAATGCTGACTGATTTACAAAATAAGATGGGGGAAATGGAGTATAATGTTCACTCAACACAAAATAGGTCATTTGGGAAGACAAGTAACATAATATATTATTATTTCAATGATTCATCTTTGTGCAGAGGTTGTTCTCAAAAGGGGGGGTTGGATGGCTGAATGGTTAGCGTGCGCGCGCTGTATCATAAAGTCTGTCATTGAGTCGACTGGCTTGGTTTCGAATCCCCGGTTGTACGTGGCAAGGAGTAGGGTCGCCTGTCCAACCTCGTGGGTTTTCTCCGGGGCCTCCGGTTTCCTCCCACTGCTAAAGACCCCTACGCGCAAGCGAAATATGTAAATAAAATTAAACCATATGTTAGTCCCGAAATGACCTAGTTTGTGTCGAGTGGACGTTAAACCCCATTTCTCTCTCTCTCTCTCTCTCTCTCTCTCTCTCTCTCTCTCTCTCTCTCTGTTCTCAATAGGAGAAAAGCAGAGGAGCGACAGAAAACCCCATGGTTAGACATTAAGACAGGTCACCTTATTCCACAGCAAATACATGCATGGGATTGAAACAAAAATGTTTGCTTCAATGACAACAAGTATTTTAGCCTAACCATATAATCATCACATGATGTATAAGACTTGTATTAGTTTCACTATAACCTGGCGCTTACCTGTTGTATAGGACACATGTTTGTCCAACTATAAACTTGATTTGATGGTGGATAAACTGTTCCTTTATTTCTCTCACTTTCAACAAACTTACATAACTACAAACAAAAAAAACAAAAAAACATTTTATGACTTTATTATAAATTATTAAAAATGATATTACATTAATATTCAAATTGCGTAATTGCTGAAACTTGAACCCTTGTTCATATCAGTTAAGTACAAAATTTGTTATTCTTAGAGAGAGAGAGAGAAATGGGGTTTAACGTCCACTCGACACAAACTAGGTCATTTCGAGACTAACATATGGTTTAATTTTATTTACATAATTCGCTTGCGTGTAGGGGTCTTTAGCAGTGGGAGGAAACCGGAGGACCCAGAGAAAACCCACGAGGTTGGTCAGGCGACCCTACTCCTTGCCACGTACAACCGGGGATTCGAAACCACGCCAGTCGACTCAATGACAGACTTTACGATACAGCGCACGCGCGCTAACCATTCAGCCATCCAACCACCCGTTATTCTTAGAACTTAACTATCGCTAGTGGTTTACAATTGAGGAAAAAAAAAAAAAAAAATTTTTAAAAGAAAAACAATTTTTAATTGATTTTACACATTAATGTTTTAGGGTGAATTCTATCAAATACCATGTTGGCTCAGTGAATAAGACGTTGGCTCAGTGAATAAGACGTTGGCTCAGTGAATAAGACGTTGGCTCAGTGAATAAGACGCTGGCTCGCCAACTTAGGTCCTGTGTTCCATCCTGGTATTTGCAGAGAAAGTTCGTCTGGATTTTCTAGCCTGTTTCCCCCTTTTCCTTGGTGTAGGGTAGAAGGCCTGGCAAGAGGCAACGTATAGTTGTTCGCTGTTTGGATGGGACGAAAAACTGAGGTCTCGTATGCACATTAACGTGCTCATAAAACTAAAGAACCTTTGACAGTTGGAATCGATATAAGAGTAGGCTGTAGTGTTGCTATCAGGCAAAAATTTCCCTCATCATAGCACACTAAGAAGGTTGTACCCCAATCTTCAGTAGGATGTAAAGAGAGAGACAGAAATGGTGTTTAATGTCCACTCGATAAACTAGGTCATTTCGGGACTAAGATATGGTTTAATTTTATTTCAATAATTCGTTTGTACGTAGGGGTCTTGCAGTGGGAGGAAACTGGAGGACCCGGAGAAAACCCAGACGACCCTACTCCTTGTCACATACAACTGGGGATTAGAAACCACGCCAGTTGACTCAATGGCAGGCCTTATGATACAGCGTGCACATGCTAACCATTCGGCCATCCAACTCCCCGTAGGATGTAAAACCCAATTCTATTTGTAATGCTTCATGTAATTGATTTACACTGACAGATAATTTTCCAAGTATTAAAAATAGAATTTTCACTTACCTGTATAAAATATGGTTTGGTAAATTCAGGTTCTAAAGCTGAATACCAAGTTTTTCCAATGGCCTGTTTTAAACTTGTTGACAATTCACTTGATTCTTTCGTGGATTTTGATTTTATTTTTTCTAAAGCAGCTTTTTTATTTTCCTCCATTCTTTGTTTTTGTTCTGGTGAAAGTTTTATTTCAGGTTTGTCACTATCATCGTCTGTTGGTTTCTGTCGTTTAGCAGGAGTCAACTGAAAATTATAAATAAATATAAAAGATAGGTTACCAGGCAACGAAACATACGCCCACAGCAGCTAAATCGTCCGAGCAGTCAACAAGTGTTGTCGCATATTTTTACTTTTTTCGGTAATGAAACATTTATAATACACTAAAATCTGATTAAGAGTAACAACTCATCAAGTAATTATCAGAAAACCATTAGAATTTGTTTGGTTTTTATAAAGTTCTGCCCCATGCCAACGCTTAGTATACAAAACTTTTAAATCATGGATTTAGCTGTTCAAGTCATAAAATTTACTTGTTCATATCAAGTACTTAAACTCTGTGTATCAATCTGAAGTCAATCGGATGATAACTTTAGCCTCTAGAGCGTCACGAGATTTTTCAAAGTGATCAAGGGCCATAACTTTGGCAGTAATTATCGGAAATCTTTGAAAATGAATAGACTTCTTCGTCTCATGACCTTAAACACTGTCAATCGGATATTAACTTTGGCCTCTAGAGCGTCCACAAGATTTTTCAAAGTGATCAAGGACCATAACACTGGCAGTAATTATCTGAAATCACTGAAAATGAATGGGATTCTTCGTCTCATGACCCTAAACACTGTGTATGAATTTAAAGTCAATCGGATATTAACTTTGGCCTCTAGAGCGTCCACAAGATTTTTTGAAGTGATCAAGGGCCATAACTATGGCAGTAATTACCAAAAATCGCTGAAAATGAATAGACGTCTTCGTCTCATGACCTTAAACACTGTGTATAAATTTAAAGTCAATTGAATATTAACTTTCGCCTCTAGAGCGTCCACAAGATTTTTCAAAGTGATCAAGGGCCATAACTCTGGCAGTAATTATCAATGTGGGCGTATAAAAAGAAAAACAAATTCAAAATATCTTATAATCAGGGGCACATTATATCTCTGATACGGGAAAGTAGCTAAATATGTTGGTACATTTTGATATGTTTTAGCTACATATGCCTCTTTACCATGCAAAATTGTTACTCAAATTGACAATGTTTGTTGAATGCAAGTGGATTTAACCAATCAACAATTCAATCAGACTTCCCATGAGCAATATCATCAATTGAAACGGGACATGTACACTACAAATTGTAACAATTAACATATTAGTATAGTGGAAATATTGTATGAAATAAATATTGTTGAAAGGAAAGGTGGGAACTCAAGACTTGAGTGCAACTTCCTTGAGTGCAACTTAAGTCGCATCAAAGAGACACGACTTGTGACTCGACATGAGCATGAATTGCTGATTCGTTTGATGAACTGGTGAGTCGAATGGGACTTGGGACTCAACTTCAAGTCAGCGACTTAAATTGTGAATAAACTTGATTAAGTGCAGCGATTTAGGACTTGAACTTGCCTGACCTGTTCTGCCTTTTGCTCGATCGAGCAGGCAAGACTTAAGGTATGAAGAAAATTGCTGCAATGGGAACAGGGAGAAAGGTGTTATAATTATCTATGTGACAGCATGAGCATGGCCCTAACACCGTTATGCCCAAGTTATGGTGACAGTGTAGGCTAACAGCGACATTTTTGCTTTGATCGATTGAAAGTAAATTTAGAAAATGATCATTCAAGAAAACATATCTAATCTGCACATAAAAAATGTAATGAAATCAACAATTTTATTATTTATTCATATCAAACAGTTGGCGCACAGCTAGGACTGTCCCTTTATTCTTTAATAATATGTATGTAATTCAATGCGTTTCAATCAACCTGATTTATTTCATTCTTGTTATCTGACAATGGTCGTTTCGCTGCTGATGTAAAAAATGATGATATCTTTGCTTGACCTGACATCATTAAAATACTGTAAGTAAACTTTGGAGTGGTAAACAAAGCAACGAAACACGTTGGAAATTGTCTACTGCACCGATAAATTTTATTCATTTCCCGCCATTTTCTATTTATTTACATCATCTTTAGTCCCGGTTCTCCAGTTCAATTTTTTAGTTGAAGTCGAATGACTTGACAATCAAGACAAAACTCTTTTACGTGAAGGTAAAAATGTTAAAAAAGAAAGTAAATAACAAGAAAAACCGACTGAAAAACCGTAATTATGATGTAATTAGCCAACGGAAAGAGTTGAATTCGATCGAAGACTATAAAAAGAAATATCAAGGATATCTTGTAAGCATTTAGATTTTATTCATTCGCAAAGAAAATGATCGAAATCATTGTTAAATTCAAAATTTCAGGAAATTTAATAAGAGTTACCTCCCTTGCATCCGTTTGTAGGGTAAATTGTCCTGTCACCATGATCATTTATGGAACTGTCAATGTCATCATAATTGTCGAACGAAAGGATGATAAAAGAATGAAAACGTTTGTTGTCCATCATTAATGGCATTATGTAAGTTCATACAATTGATCAGCTAATCTGGGCCCAGGGGTATGACTGAAATGTGTAACAAATGCATACCATAACCATCGATCATTTACCATTCATATTTAATTATTTATTTCCTCCATTGGTTTCTATTCTCATATGTACATGTAGGCCTATGATACAGTCATTACTATAGTACACATAGGATACCCAAATCACATACCCTTGGACATGCATAACAAGATTACCAGACTCAAGGAGTGGCTTATTTGCTACTTTTGGCTTTATGGCAATGAATGCAAATAGTTTTTGCAACCCACTTAATTTATTATTATTAAACAATAAACCTACATGTACTTGTAAACTTTGTTCCAATAGGATATTTGCTTCAATAAACGTCACCCAGAGTAGCAAATAACCATTTTACTTCCAGCAATTTATCAACAAGGTAGACAATATGCCATTTTATGGCATGTACATGGAAATTGCATAGACTTAAGACTACATGTTATGTATTCAGGCATTCACCTAAAAGGAGTGCGATCGCGCTCGCTCTCCTGGACGTGCCCGGATGTCAGTTGGGGTGCTCTTTTTATAGGTCGCCTCAATGTCTAAAATGTCTCACCTCAAAGAAAATAATCAGGAAAAATATACCGTAACGAAAAATACTGTCAAGTATTCAAGGGTTGCGTTGTTAGGACTTGGTCAGGCAAACTACAAACACAGGATAGCTGGCAATAAATTACTCCTAGCCGGCTAGGTTTTGTAAAACCCCTGCCCTGTGATCATGTCATACTAAAATATGTAACTCAAAATACCTGCAGGCCTCCAAAACACATAACCCTTAACCCTGAATTACAAAAAACATATTATCAGAAATATTTCTATAAAACTGTTTAATACCCACCAGCCATTGTACAAGAATAATGACAATTATGAGACACAAAAATGTGTGTAATACATGTATATACATGTATGCCAGGGCCACAGGGGCCCCTGTCAAAATACAAGACCAGTAACACATGGTTCAATTTTATTTCAATAATTCGCTTGCGCGTAGGGGTCTTTAGCAGTGGACAGACGACCCTACTCCTTGTCATGTACAACTGGGGAATTGAAACCATGCCAGTTGACTCAATGACAGACCCTATGATACAGCGGCGCACACATGGTAACCATTCGGCCATCCAACCCCCCAAATAATGGTAGGCCTACAAAACAGAGCTCAGGCGAACTATGTTTTAATGAAGAAATTGTGTTTGAAATGAAATGAAATGGGGTTTAACGTCCTGTTGTTTTGCTCCAAAGTGGGCTAATGAAGACGGGCACACGCCATACAGTGTGCTATGAGGGAAATTTTGCCTGGACAGCAGCACTACAGCCCACTCTTATATCGAATTCCAACTGTCAAGGGATCTTTTACGTGCACCCCAATGTGTACACAGGACCTCGGTTTTTTGTCTCATCCAAATGACTAGACAGCTGTCCTTAAATTGTGTTTTAAAATGTAACAAATGACAATAATATTATTATTGATATGATGGGAGTTTGGTGGCCGAATGGTATAACATGTGGATCATACAATTGGAAGGAGTAGGGTCAACTTTTGGGTTTTCTCGAGGTCCTCCGATTTCCTCCCATGTTAAAACCCTATTGATACAGTTGACTCATATCATCCTTTATCCTTGATATCTCCAGTGGTCTGATTCCGTACTACTCCATTAGTACTTGTGGGTTTTCTCCAGGTCCTCCGGTTTCCTCCCATGTTAAAACCCTATTTTGATACAGTTGACTCACATAAACCTTTATCCTTGATATCTCCAGTGGTCTCATTCCGCACTACTCCATTATACCCTGGTTTCATCCAAGGGGGAGGCACGTATTCAGGGGTTAGTGGAGTGGAATGGAATCAGACCACTGGGGATGAAATGAAATGAAATGGGGTTTAACGTCCTACTGTTCTGCTCCTATACTGGGCTAATGAAGACGGGCATTTGCCATACAGTGTGCTATGAGGGAAATTTTGCCCGGGCAGCTCCACTATCGCCTACTTTTATATCGAATTCCAACTGCCAAGGGATCTTTTACGTGCACGCCAATGTATTCACGTTTTTTTTGTCTCATTTGAAGGACTAGACAGCTGTCCTTGTCAGGCCCTCTGTTCTGCACCACTGACAAGGGGAAACCATGTCGGAAAATCCAGATGAACTTTCTTGGCCAATGCAGGGATCAAACACCCGACCTCCAGGCTAGCGGGCCAGCGTCTTACCCACTTAGCCACCGTGACCCCCACCACTGGGGATATACCGAGGATGATAATCCTTGAGTGGCATTTGGTACTTGAGTACTATAAAACACAACACAATGAATGTATGTATTGAAAACCATATTTGTGCTTGACATTACAATAAAAGAATACTTTTCGAAATGTCATGTGTTATGTGTCTAAACCATTGATTGTTTTCCATATAAATTGTGTTGTGTTTTTATGCATGACTCAGTTTCTGTGTTTAAATCGAAGATAGATATAACAGCTTTCGTATCTAATACGAGTAAAAAAAATTGATTTGATAAACAGATGTCATATCATATTGATCTATCTACGGATATTAAAATAAATAATATCAAATATATATAAAACTGGAGTGTGTCCATACCGCTATAGTTGTATAACACTGTAACCAGGTTATCATTTAATTTTGTGTATTTAGCATTGATTTCTTTCACATTTGTTCAATATCAAATCTTTGTTTAAAAATTCGAAAAAAATCAGTCAGCGTTAAACTAGACACAAGTACAAATTAGTTTATTTTAGGTGATTTTAAGTGATTTTTACGAATTTTTAAACAAAGATTTGATATTAAACGAATGTGAAAGAAATTAGTGCTAGATACATGTACTACACACAAGATTAAATGATACCTGTGTTACAGTGTAAGCAGTTATACAAACTGGAGTGTGTCCATGTCACTGTAGCTTGAATCAGTTTAAAACAACCAAGTTTACACCATAGTAAGAAGTTATACAGGTACATTGTAAGCTTACCTCTACCTTGTACATGTAAGTATATTCATGGAAACAGCAACTGTCATAAGTCATTTAAAATTTTAATCAATTGTTTTTGTTGGGTTGGGGTGGGGGGGGAGGGCGTGGGGGTAGGCTTACCCTTTATAGAACACATGATGTCACTCCTCATTTCTGGAGTGCACATGGCTTACTGTGGCTTCTGAAATCCATTGCTCCAGTTACATTTGTAGTGCATGAAACAGGGTATGCATAATCTTTATACTTTTTATACGCCCACATGGAAATGTGGTCGTATATTGCCGTCGCCCCTGTCTGTCCGTCCGTCCGTCCGTCCATCGTCCACAATTTCTTGTAAACACTCATTTATCATCTGATTGTTCTGAAATTGATATATGTTGTTTGCATTAGTGAGATGAGTTATGGCCCTTGTTTCACTTTGTTGCACCTTGTGAACGCTCTAACGACAAAAGTTATCAACCGATCTGTATGAAATTTATATGCATCATTTAAATTAGTAAACCAAAGAAGCCTATTGAATTTCAGCAATTTCAGTTAATTACATCTAGAGTTATGGCCAAAGTGTCACTTTGTAGAATCTGGTGAACTCTCTAATGAGAACAGTTATCATCCGATCTGTTTGAAATTGATACGCATCATTTAAATTAGTGCAACGAAGAAGCCTAATGAATTTCAGCAATTTCCGTTTATTACGCCATGAGTTATGGCCCTTGTTTCACTTTGTTGTACCTTGTGAACAAAAGTTATTATCCGATCCGTATGAAATTTATATGTATCGTTTAAATTAGTAAAACGAACAAGCCTATCGAGTTTCAGCAAATTTTCCGTTAATTACATCTAGAGTTATGGCCCTTGTTTAACTTTGTTGAATCTTGTGAATGCTTAAACGACAAAAGTTATCACTTAATTTGTATGAAATTCATATGCATCATTTAAATTAGTGAAATGAAGAAGCCTATTGAATGTCAGCAATTTCCATCAATTACTTCTAGAGTTATGTCCCTTGTTTTACTTTGTTGAACCTTGTGAGTGTTCGAACAACAAAAGTTCTCATCCGATCTGTATGAAATTTATATGCATTATTTGAGTTAGTAAAACAAAAAAGCCTGTCGAATTTCAACAATTTCTGTATATTACTTCCAGAGTTATGGCCCTTGTTTTAGTTTTTAGAACCTTGTGAACCCTCAAACAACGAAAATTATAATGTCATCTGTATGAAATTGTCTATTAAATTTCCCTTATTACCTACAAAAGAATAAATATGCAACAACCCTTGTCGACTGCTCGGACAATTTAGCTGCTGTGGGCGTATGTTTTTGTTGTCTGGCAACCTATCTTTCTATATTGGAATGGGGCTTAAAGCCCTGCCAACACAATATTTTGGTCATTTTGAAACAAAAATATTGTCATTTTCTTTTTTTCCTGGTTACATGTGTATGACTATTACATTTGGGGGTGGGGGTGATTCTAACTTTCATGTATTCTTTAACATGTCCGTCACTGTGTACACAGCTGGACCTTGATTTTTCATATGATCCCAACAAGTAGGCCCATTTTTGTTGCCAGAAGATTCTGAAACCTGAGACAGTGCTATGCTTTCTAGAATAATCGAAATCAATTTTCATTTGAATATTTTTGTTGTGCAGTACTTTTATATTGGCTCTTGTTGCATCCCAAGCACAAATTTAGATAAATAATTTATTTATTTCAGGTTTTAGAATAAAGAAGAAGTCATAAATAAATACCATGGCGGCAGGTGTTTTAAAATGCCCTAAATAAATCAGAATCTTTATTGACTTACAACCTGAGTTACTAGTTGTTTTATTATGCATCAGAATCCGTGACTCAAGACAATAAACTTTATCTTCTTACAACCTGAGCTACTAGTTGATTAATTATAAATCGAAATCATTAAATCTCACGTTGGGTATACGAACTACATATTTTTATTAGTCAGAATCAGTGAATTTCGCTGTGGGTAAATTAACTACAAATGTTTTCTATGTACGACTTGAGTTACTAGATGTTTTATTATTAGTCGGAATCATTAACTCTCGTGTTGGATAAATTAACTACAAACTTTATCTACTTACGGCATGAGTTACTAGTTGTTTCATTATGAATTGGAATCATTGACTCTACTGTGGGTAAATTAACAACAAACTTTATCTACTCAAGCCCTGAGCTACTAGTTGATTTATTATAAACCGGAATCCATGATTCTCGCTGTGTGTAAATTACCATCAAACATTATCTACTTACGACCTGAGCTACATGTACTAGTTGATTTATTATATATTTAGCTTGTGGTGTGAAACTTTGTGGGTATTACTAAGACTTGTACATTTTACTTCCCAAAGGAGACTTCGCTCAATAACAAACACTAATTTTATTCCAAAGGAGACGTCGCTCAATAACAAACACTAATTTTATTCCAAAGGAGACGTCACTCAATAACAAACACTAATTTTATTCCAAAGGAGACGTCGCTCAATAACAAAGGATTGTGTACAGTTTATTTACTAAATGCCATAAGAACAATCAACACTGAACAGATTTAAACACCATATAATTATCTGTGACCACATTCAATTTATTTTGTGAAAAGGATCAATTTGTGTTTACTTAATTCTTTGTTACACCAAGACCATTGTTAAATCATGTTTCATCGAAAAGATGATATTACAGTTATATTAATGTTTTGAAAGACCAGAGAGTCGTCAGCCAGTTGTCGACAGCAATATTTATAGTATTATATATTATGATCAATATATTTTATACATACAGATAGTGTGATATGTTATAAACTAAATATTACTGTATGGATAGATAAATAGATTGCTGTTTATTTTAATAATCTTATTTTAATGTGATATATACACACGATTGTTCATAGGCCTAGTTACTTAATATTAAGAGATTTTTCAGACAGAGGTCGGTGTTTAGAAAAAGTATTTGTAATATGTTTTGTTTGTTATTGTAAATTTGCATCGTTTCATGACACACACTATTGTTCAAAGGCCTAGTTACTTAATATTAAGGGATTTCAGACAGAGATCGGTGTTTAGAAAAATTATTTGTAATATATTTTGTTTGTTATTGTAAATTTGCATCGATTCATGACACACACTATTGTTCAAAGGCCTATTTACTTAATATTAAGTGATTATAAATAGAGGTCGATGTTCAGAAAAATTATTTGTAATATATTTTGTTTGTTATTGTAAATTTACATAGATTTATGACACACACTAATGTTCCCAGGCCAAGCTACTCAATATTTAGAGATTTCAAGCAGAGATTGGTGAACAGGAAAATTATTTCTAATTCTGGTAAATTTGCATCAATTATAATGAGATTGCCATATTCATGCAGTTTTACGTGCATTTAGCAATCAATATACTGTTCTGAATTTTTATTTCTGATATTATTATCATTATACATTAATTCTATGACTTTAGTAACCGGTAGTAAGTACCTTTAAACTATGAACATGTCAGCCAATTTATTTATGTACAGTAAATGGTTTTGTTAAATTTACTGTATTTTCTTAATTGATATTATATTTTATTGTATTACATTTAAATGTCTGTATATATAGGGAGTATTATTTACATTTAAAGCTCAATTTAAACGTTTTCTTTCACATTTATGAAGACTATTTGTTTGATTTGTATTAATATTACTGAATTCAAATATTTTGTATTTATATAAGTATTTTACGATTTTCTCACTACGTGTTCATGTCATAAATTCATAAATTATAATTAAAGTTAATTTTGTACAAAAAATTAACATTAATTTATTAATTAGCCTAGTGCGGAATCTATAAATACGTTTTAGCCTAGAGCATTTTCTATAAATAGGTTTACAGACTTATTTTGATTAAATTGACATAATTCTAATTAACTTAAATTAATTGGAATATTTTAGCAAAAAATAAATTAGTGTACTAGAACAAAGTTCATTTTTGTATTTCAACATACATGTATTTATCACTGTTAGTATTGATTGAAATATAATACAACATATTTTAAACATTTGAAGTTTACATTATTAACAGTTTGTGTTATTGAAAAACTATATGTATTACAACATATTTATCACTGTTAGTATTAATTTAAATATAATACAACATATTTTAAACGTTTAAAGTTTACATTATTTACAGTTTAATGTTTGTATAAAAGAAAACATTATTTATTTGTTAATATTGAAATTTTGTTGTCATTATTTTTTTGTTTAAATTTTATCCATATATAAGCTTATAGAATTTCTTTAACACAAAAGAATGATTTTTATTCTGATGCAAATATAAATTAATAACCATTCTTAATTCACAACTAATATTGGACTATTTTTCGTTGATTATAGACCACAATTTTACTGTGATACTACGTTATATTGGTTTATTTAATTCTGGTGATACTTAATCCATTTCAAACTTTTTAATATATTTTGATATTGTATATTACTGGTAAAGATAATTTTATTTAAAGATTGTTTGCAATTATTATTTGAAATTACCTTTTTCATTCCTTTTATTTTCTCTTTTTTCTTATGAACTCAATTTAAGGCATATTCTTGAATTATCTATAAAAAAGCTTGTTATTTTTTGGTCCATATTCTTGATTGATCTATAAAAAAGCTTGTTATTTTTGTTGTTATAATTGCTGATCTCAAAATGGCATCTGCCCAAGATGAAGCCAAGAAACCGCTACCTCCAGGATCTTCATTTGGACGACTACTTGGAATTTTATCAGATAAATCCTACGATTTTTATAAAAATCCTGTCCAATTTTTCGAGAAAAATGCTGTAGACTTCAAGAGTCGTATTTTCCAGTCCCGGTTTTTATTAAAGCCGACAGTATTTGTGGGATCTAATCAGGGTTTAGCAGATGTTTTGTCAGGTTTGTTTTAATTTTTGTCAATTACTAGTCAATACACGATCATTTACAACAAAATAATTGATTTTAAAGGGCGTATGACTCTTTTTTTTTTAACCTTGAAATAGACATATTCTGAAAGCACATCAAAAAAAATATTGTAATTTCTAATCAATTATGTTTGGTGAATGTCAGTCTTTTACGCCTACTTAGTGCAGCCTACATGTTTTTTTTAAATTATTATTTTGTCGTTTGTGAATCGTCCTTTACTAATTTCTTCGACATTGTGTTTTAATTTGTTTATTACAAAATGGCACCATAGGGTTTCATGACTTGTGTACTGGTTATAAAATGTTAATTGTGTCTTAAATATTGGATACTAGCAGGATACCCGTCTTCGCTCGGGGGTCATAACTTCGAAACCGGAAGTGGTAGACTAACGCCACCTGGCCTATGTTACTCCCCATTCCGAGCTACCCCTATACCCCAAATTTCAGACTCGGGCAGACCTAGTGTAGCCGCCAACCCCGAACAGACCGGTTTCGCTCGGGGGGTCATAACTCCGAAACCGGAAGTGGTAGACTGACACCACCTGGCCTATGTTACTCCCCGGTCCGAGCTACCCCTATACCCCAAATTTCAGACTCGGGGCAGACCTAGTGTAGCCGACAACCCTGAACAGACAGACTTCGCTCGGGGGTCATAACTCGAAACCGGAAGTGGTAGACTAACGCCACCTGGCCTATGTTACTCCCCGGTCCGAACTACCCCTATACCCCAAATTTCAGACTCGGGGCAGACCTAGTGTAGCTGCCAACCCCGAACAGACCGGCTTCGCTCGTGGGTCATAACTCCGAAACCGGAAGTGGTAGACTAACGCCACCTGACTTAGCTCCTTTAAAGTAGCAGTGTAATTATTAATTTATGGTCATCTGCCAACTTATTGAATCGTACAGGAGCCACATTCCGCATATACAAACTCTATATACAAAACAAATTAAATTGGTTGGTAACCAAGGTAACGTTTATTGATAGGATATAATGATATTAAGAGATACACTGTGGAAAATACCAGAGCTTAAACATTTGGGAGTTTGGGAGGGAGATGGGGGTGGGGGGTGCATTTCAGATTCGTAGAAATTATGAATTTATCAAATTGTTGATTTTCCTTAATCTGTTTGATTTATTTTTGAATATTCGTTAATTTCATTGAATTAATACCTTGAAACATTTCCTATCAGAGACATAACACCGTAAGTAGTTGATCTTGTCCAGGGCAAAAAATAGTCTGGCTCTGAACCTGGTGCCTTATTTCCCTGTTTGATCTTACAAATAAAAGAATGGCCATAGAGTATTAAGATAACATTCTACTATTTTCTGTTTTTCAGACGGAGGAGAATTTACCGAACTTGGTTATAAAACATTCATGGGTCAGATTTATGGCGATAATATTCTCTTTACTGATGGTAAATATCTAGATTCTCTAATTAAAATTATATCCTTTACGTGCACACCAACATGTTCACAGGACCCCCAGTTTTTGTCCCATTTGAACAACTATTACTTCAAGGATCTCCATCTGCACCACTGACAAGGGGAAACCATGTTAGACAATCCTTGTTAGTAAACCTGAACAAGGCGTCTGTCCAACCTTGTGGGTTTTCTCCAGGTCCTCCGGTTTCCTCCCACTGCTAAAACCCCTACGTGCAAGCGAATTATTGAAATAAAATTGAACCATATGTTAATCCCAAAATGACCTAGTTTGTGTCGAGTAGATGTTAAACACAATTTCTCTCCCTCTCTTTGTTAGTAAACCAACACATTACTGAGTCACCATAACTCTCGCCCCCGTATGTATTGTTTATAGTAAGTGCAGGTGGACTGCACCACACACAAACAATTACACACGACAAACCGACAGACAAGACACACTATATACAGACACCACAAACAACAAACGTCTGTATCAGATCAAATGAATGGATCCAGGGGCTAGTTGTAAGCGTCCACTGTGCTGTAAGTCCCTGACCCGCAGCTGTAGTGAAAAGCAAACTAACAATAAGGGAAGCAACTCAAAAAAAAGGGGAATAGATCTTAAACAATGTATCATACTAGAATGGGTAATGATACGCTATGTTCTATAAGATATTGTTTGTTTTGTTTTTAGGTAAAGCTGCCGAGGAATTAAGGGATGCTTTAAGTCAGCTGTTTACTGATGATTGTGTTAAAACATATCAACAAACCATTGATAGGTATAATAACTTTCTCTAGGCCTATATATGGTATTGTAGGCCTACATGTATTGTTAATAAATAGTAACTTTTTATAGGCCTACATTTATTATATTGTCATCTCTGTCTATCCAAATAGTAACTTTCTGTAGACCTACATTTATTATATTGTCATCTCTGTCTATCCAAATAGTAACTTTCTGTAAGCCTACATTTTGTATTGTCATCATCTCTGTCTGTCCATAATTTCTTGTCACCATCACCACTCTACCTCAAATTTGCCATGATTGCCCATATATGAATCGAAACGGAGTATAAGACGGTACGGATGGGCAGTAGTCGGCACGCTTTCATTCTATGGTATTACGATGTCATGTAATTTTCAAGGAATATTATTGACATAAATTTGAATACTGTAAGGGAATTAAATATGAAAAATAACGAGGTGACTTACTTTTTAAAATTACGTATGAATTTGAATATTTTGTTGACACGTGATTCTTAATTCTGGTTTGAAAACACCTGCTTAAATAGCGATAAGAGTTATGTCCCTTTATTTTCGGAAAGAAAATGTCCGACAACTAAAATTTTGAAACGTGACAAAAATAGATTAAACGACTGTCCCTGGCAGATGAGAAAAATAGCCTTAGATGTGTGCCCCTGGCAGATGAAAAAAGTAAGCCAGAAGAGTGTTCCTTACAGATGGGTAACAGTAGAAACATGATCATGATACATCTGTCATATTATTTGTAATTTAAAACATTTATTTTATTGTAGAATTGTTGAGAAAGAAATCCAGAATTTAGATATTAGGTGAGTCAGTTAATGATTGGATAAGAGGTCCCCCAAAAGCTTGGGGAAAAGTCTGCAACTGCACTGATATTTTATGACCCTAAGAGAGTGAAATAAAATGCAGTTTAACGTCCTACTATTCTACTCCTTCTGGGCTAATGAAGACGGGCATACGTCATGCAGCTACGGCCTACACTTATCACTTATATGTGTGTTTTATGAAATGAAATGAAACGGGTTTTAACGTCTAATGAAGACGTATCATAAAGTATCTAATTATATAATGTTTTTATATTTTCAGTAATCCGGTGTGTTTGTATGAATTCTATAAAAAGATGGTTACAGAAATCTGTCTCAGTTTATTTCTTGGGTTAGATTTTGAAGACACGGACGATATTTATGATACCATTACCTCATTAACTACAACTCATTGGCATGGTAACATATTTGTTTTATACTCCCTGACAACTCATTGACATGGTAACAAATTTGTTGTATACACTCTCTGACAACCATGGTAACAAATTTGTTTTATACTCTCTGACAACCATGGTAACAAACTTGTTTTGTACTCTCTGACAACCATGGTAACAAACTTGTTTTATACTCCCTGACAACCATGGTAACAAACCTGTTTTATACTCTCTGACAACCATGGTAACAAAGTTGTTTTGTACTCTCTGACAACCATGGTAACAAACTTGTTTTAAATTCCCTGTAAACAAAGAGTCTATGTCATTCAGTAAAAGTCCACTTGTATGAGGGGGGTTGGATGGCTGAATGGTTAGCGTGCGCGCTGTATCATACAGTCTGTCATTGAGTCGACTGGCGTGGTTTCAAATCCCTGGTTGTACGTGGCAAGGAGTAGGGTCGCCTGTCCAACCTCGAGGGTTTTCTCCGGGTCCTCCGGTTTCCTCCCACTGCTAAAGACCCCTATGCGCAAGCGAATTATGTAAATAAAATTAAACCATATGTTAGTCCCGAAATGACCTAGTTTGTGTCGAGTGGACATTAAACCCCATTTCTCTCTCTCTCTCCAATTGTATGGTTCTTGAAGTAACCAGTCAGGGTCCTTATTCACGAAAACTTAAACTAAGATACAATCGAAATTTTAAGAAATACTGCAATTCGATTGGCTGACCAGTGAAATCAATTTGCATATATCCAATGAAGTTGCAGTATTTCTTAAAATTTCGGTTGATTAAGGGCCCAGCTCTATATGTAGTCGATTCCTTCAAAAGTCTGAAAGAAATTAAATCCAGATCTATGTTTTAATCCGATTGTCTAATGATTATATGAAATAATTTTATGTTGACAGTACAGTGAATATGACAATTTATTTATATTGTGGGTATTATATCAGTGCATATATAATTATTTTATTTATATTGTTGGTATTGTGTTAGTGAATATATAATTAATATATTGATGTTGTTGGTATTATATATGTGAATATGTAATTAATTTATTTATATTGTTGTTATTATATTCGTGAATATATAATTAATATATTGCTATTGTAGGTATTATATCAGTGCCGTTAGCATTAAAGATACCTGGTACAGGTAAAGAATCAACATTTAAACAGGCTTTACAGGCTAAGGTAAACAATAAAATTACAAGTAAAATAGAATATTTTTACCGGAATTTCATATTTAACAGTTTTTGGTTTAGGATAGGGGACAACATATAGTCGTTCGCCTGGTACATAAATTATGTAATTTAGGATAAATTATGTAATTTAGGATAAATTATGTAATTCAGGATAAATTATGTTATTTTTAGGATAAATTATGTTATTTTTAGGATAAATTATGTTATTTTTAGGATAAATTATGTTATTTTTAGGATAAATTATTTGACCAAATTTTTAGGATAAATTATTTGACATAATTTTTAGGATAAATTATTTGACAAAATTTTTAGGATAAATTATTTGACATAATTTTTAGGATAAATTATTTGACATAATTTTTAGGATAAATTATTTGACATAATATTTAGGATAAATTATTTGACATAATTTTTAGGATAAATTATTTGACATAATTTTTAGGATAAATTATTTGACATAATTTTTAGGATAAATTATTTGACATAATTTTTAGGATAAATTATTTGACATAATTTTTAGGATAAATTGTTAGAAGTGATAAAAGAGAGAAGAGAAACAAGTAAAAAGGGCTTTCATCAGAAATTAGAAGAAATCCATGAATTAGACGAGGAAGCCATCAATAATCATCTGTTATTGTTTACATCTGCTCTTGTACCTAAAGCCCTCGCATCTTTACTCACATCTTTCAGTCTAGAAGTTGGACAACACCAAAAGGTCTGTTAATTTAAAAATTTTGCCAGTCCATCAATTTTAGGTATATGTTTATTGTTTAGCATTATTCCAATATTTTAATATATTTTTAAGTGCTTTTACACATACAAACTATAACTCTCACTTGTGTTTCAAGGTTAAATTCTTTGCATATCAATTTTTAAAAGTAGTTACACTGATGACTGTTATGCTCAGCATTAAATATTATATCGTAAAGGTTTAAAAGTAGTTACAGAGAGAAATGGGATTTAACGTCAACGCGACACAAACCAGGTGATTTCGGGACTAACGTATGGTTCAATTTTTTTCAATAATTCGCTTGCGTGTAGGGGTCTTTAGCAGTGGAGGGAAACCGGAGGACCCGGAAAAAAACGATGTGGTTGGACAGGCAACCCTACTCCTTGTCACGTACAACCGTTGAATCAAAACCACACCAGTTCACTCAATGACAGACCTTTCGGTCATCCAGCCCCCTTAAATGTAGATACTGATTTGATTATATTTGTTATACCCATCACTAAATATTATTTTATATCGTAAAGGTTTAATAGTACCATAGTTACACTCATGTCTGTTTAAAAATAATTACTTGTGTATCATTTATTACAATATATTTATTGTTAGATTTCAAGTATCATTTATTACAACATATTCAATGTATCATTCATTACAATATTTTTATTGCGTTAGATTTCAAGTATCATTTATTACAATATAATTAATATTTTTAGGTATCATGTATCATTGATTACAGTATTTATATTGTTTTAGGTGTCATGGCAGAAGATGTGTTTGTTAGACGAGGAATTCATGGATCAAATGTTATTAGAGGTTCAGCGTTATTATCCTCCATTTTTAGGAGGCAGACGTGTGGTCACCAAGGTAACCATATCCACATTTATTAAACGTAAAGATTTATCAAGAGCTTATTCTGAGGCCTATTTAGCCAAGGTTGCATAAAGTTACGTATACCTTGGGATTTTAGCGTGGTGTTCTCTTGTAAGTGGTGCAGGACAGAATTGAATTTACTTATACATGCCTGTGCATTGTGAACATGGCCCAGGTAAATACAAAACACATTCTGAGATTGCAACTAGATTAAAAGGGATGGGGTTGTTTATTTTAAGGTCAGTTGGAGTGGTCATTTACATACAGAAATTCACAGAAATTCTTGGTTACCTCACCCCAACCAATGTTGTATCAAACTGTGTGTGTGAAAATTTTCAACCTTCAAAAAGATTTATTGCTGGATATTTCAGCCATTTTTAATGCAAGTCCAGATTCTATGATTTTGTAAATAAGACAAAAATTTTCAAATTCTATTTCAGAATTTTGAAGTTGATGGCTACACTATCCCAGCCGGCCATTCCATTGTGTATTTAACATTCGCTGCTCATCGTGATCCGTCCATTTTTGAAAATCCAAACCAGTTTCATCCTGGTAGATGGAAAAATAGGTGTGTAGAAATGACGTTTTGTAGTGAAAATACATACATGGCAAAATGAAGAAATACAGTAATGCATAATCTCAGGTCGACAAACACTCGACCATTTTAGTCTTGCAAGTGACTTCCATACTTAATTGGCCGTGTATCTTCTAGTATTGTAGGCTATTTTATTCAATGTAAACACATTCGTCACCAAACAGAAACAAAGTTTCCTTGTTTGCATCTATTTGTTTATTTGTAGCCGGCTAAAGAACCCTCCTAGCAAGTGAATTATTGAAATAAAGTTGAACCATGTGTTCATCCCAACCAATTCTCTCTCTCCATCATGAATGCCAGGGTTCAATTTATAGAGTTTAATTACGGGTAATGTGTGTTTATTTTATTTCATATAGCACCAGTGATACACAGAAGAAGAAATTATTTTGTTTTGGTTATTTAAGTCGTGGCTGTGTTGGTGAAAGATTAGTATGGGCAATCATCAAGGTTTGTGTCTTTTATTCTTCAAATTGTCTTCCTTTAGTCTTCAAAAAACTGTTACTTAACTTGCTGGTTCGAAACTTGTCAAAATTGCTTCTAGGAAGTTAAAGACAACCGTTTTCTGATATCAGAAAATTTTTATAAGGCCGTCATTCAGCAACAAGATATAAATTTTCAAATCTGGGTGTTTAGATTTGATGAAAGGGTCATTGTTCTCTTGTTGGAATAAACGAAACGGCTATATAAATTACTGTGTGGATTTTAGTCTTCAAATTATCTCCATTTACTCTTCAAATTACCTCCCTTTAGTCTTCATATTATCTCCCTTTAGTCTTCAATTGACTTCATTTATGTCATCAGATATGATGATTTCATCATGGTACAACTGATCAGAGCAATGTATATAAGCCTGCTATACTTGGGTATATGTAGCTGTAAGGTTATCATCATTGAACATATATAATTATTATTCAGTGGATATGCTCTGATGAATAGGTTGATACTTGATTGAACATTCCGGAATTGAATTCTCTAAATTCTCCCAAATTAGTGACTATCAAGTGAAAAGGAGGATTTTGGGATACAACGCATGCACCAGCTGCATAACAAAATATCTCAATCAAAGATGACAGCTGAAACATATTCGTTGTGTTTAATTACGTCACGATTCTACTAACACCACCTCTGTTCTAGGGACTGACAGAACTGGGACTGAATTCCGTTCTGGACTGACAATCAAGCATAACCAAGGACACTGATTACATAATGTGAAATTTTATACGAAAAAAAGGAGTTCATTAATCCTTTAAAGCCATACAGAATGACCAATCAATGTTGAAGACCACTAAATTTTCTTTGTATAGGTGTTCCTATTTTCGTATTTGTAAACTTGTTCGTTTTATTTCATCTTGAGTTAATATAGAGCGGTGCTTGAGCAAATCTCTTTTCCGGTAACACAGGAGCGTAATTGAAAATGTCACCCACAGACTGTTGATTAAAAAAATTTTAGACCGGAACCAGATACACTGGGCAAAACAGGCAATGCGCATGTCAACTTACCAAATCTCGCCCAAGCGAGATTACGCGCCTCGTCATAGAACTATTTCTATGACGCGTCTAATCAATGACGTCACATATTTTTGACGTCAATGAAAATAATTCTCACACTTTTTTGTTCTTTTTTAAAAAACAAAATTAATGTATAATGTATCTAAATGAAAATCAATTTGGAAAAACTAAATTATTTAACATTTTTTGTATCACTTGAGAAAATTAATTATGATGGTTTTATATTTAACAACAATGCCATCAGCTTCGCTCTACTCAGGCAAGGCCGGTTACATATTATTATGCGCATATTTAAATAGTTGATGAAAAACTGCTGTCAAATAGTCAAGCAGGTGGTTAAAAGATTTCAGCCATATTTGATTTTTGACAATATTAACCAGTCTTTATTGTAATACTTTTGTATTGATGGGTATTATTTTATTTTTCAATTTATGTAGACGATATTAACCAGTCTGTTGAAGAAGTTTGAATTGTCTTTGGTTGATAAACAAGATTTATCATACAAATGGCTGCCTGTATCCAGACCAAAAACGGATGTTTTATTTAAATTCACCTCAAGACCACCATAGATTGTATTTTATATATATATATATATATATATATGATATATTTGTGTATGTGTAAACAAACCATGGGAGAATTCATTTAATATTACCAAGGGAGAACTCATTTAATACTTCCACTCGAGAATTCATTTCATATTACTAGGGGAGAATTCATTTGATATTACTAGGGGAGAATTCATTTAATATTACTAGGGGAAAATTCATCATTACCAGGAGAAATTATGTGTGTGCCAGTTTTTAGCCAAGTTATTTTGTATCAATTCTTATTTCATGGTGCTAACTCCATAGACGGTCTTATCACCACCAGCTTCCTCCGTTTCTTCTGTCTCTCCTTGTGAACAGTTCGTAGGTCACTGGAATCAGCAGCGTATGACCGCAATATTAAGCTACCTGGAAGCCAGCTTGTTCTGAGAAACCCTTGCCTTTCCATAAACTTTGTTAATATGGGATTTGTTTATTTTCCTGATTAACAAAACTAGGTATCGGATGAAGTGCTGATGTTGACGGCACCATACTTTTAAAACCACTGCAGGTGATCTTTGTCCTCATGGCTATCTCAAACGTAGTTTGGTGATAGTTGCATGTAACAGTGAATGTTGTATTCGAGGCATAACTGTTCAAATTAAAAAAATTCTTAACCATACAACCAGGCCCAGTTAATACTATAAACAAAGCATAATGTAGCTAAAACTCTTGTTTTTATATATATATCGAATCGAAACTGTCACTATTTTATCCCTTTTTGATACAATCAGTGCAGGAAGTGGGACTTTAAACCCCATTTCATTTCCCTTTTTGATACAAACTGTTTGATAGAGGAGACGATAGATCTTGCACGCAAATTAGTTTTATATTTCTATGTCTATAAAGTTGTAGAATTTTGCACATGTATGTGTCTTATTGCCGGCAGCACAATATTTTTGTAATCTGTTAAATCTCAATGTTTTTAAAGTCCTCAAATATTTGAATGAATGGTCCTGTCATGTTTTGCTGTAGATTTGCAAAAAGCAGGGTATGTTTTTAGAACTAAAAATATTGATTTGCTTTCAATGTCACTGTATATTTTGCACCTTCTAGTAGTGAGGTCTGCACAATAGAACAAAATTATGTCATTTCACTAAAATATATTAATCATTAATTACTTACATTTATGGTAACATACTATGTTTTTATTTGAACAAACTGCTAATTATATCACTGGTCAAAATAACGATGTAAGTCACTGTTTGTGAATAACGTTTGTTTATGAGTATGTGCTGGTCATAGCTAAAACTAGACCTATAGAATATTATTATATACTGGTGATAGCTAACACTAGACCTGTAGAATATTATTATATACTGGTGATAGCTAACACTAGATATATAGTATATTATTATATACTGGTCATAGCTGACACTAGATCTGTAGAATATTATTGTATACTGTCATACAGCTGACACTATTCATATAGTCTATGATATATACTGGTCATAGCTGACACTAGACGTGTAGAATATTATTATATACTGGTCATAGCTAACACTATTCATATAGTATATTATATATACTGGTCATAGCTGACATCAGCTGTATAAAATATTATATTATATACTGGTCATAGCTAACAGTAGACCTATAGTATATTATATATACTGGTCATAGTTAATATCAGCTGTATAAAATATTATATTATTAAATAAGCTAGCCTTTTTGATTTAGGTCAATATAAAGTATTTAATGGGTTGAAATATTACCAGGGACAGTATTTATCAAATTTCATCAATCTTTCAAAATTCTCACCTTTTAAAAAACATTTAAGAATGAATAAATGTACTGTTAACACCAGGGTCGTAACTAGCTCAGAGCAACGAGGGGGGCAGGACGTGTTCTCAGGGATACTGTAAAATTGACGGACAATGTATGTCTATTGTTTTTATGGTCCTAAATTTTTTGACTGGGTGGGCGAAACTTTTTGCAGCCCCCCGCCCCTTAGTTACGGGCCTGGAGAACACTATACGGTCCAGGTTTTGTCCTTGGATAACTATAGTGGACCTACAGAGCAACATCGAAGCATTAAATTAAAGAGTTAACATCAACATCACCAATTCCAGGATTTTTCATAGTGATTAGATTCCTATGGGCTTAAAGGCTCAATACCACTCTTATTGTAACTGAATAATATGTCCCAATCTTTATTCTGGTCAACAAATTGTACTATTTTAGAATATTTCAATTAATTGATGATACTAATTTCATCTTAACACACCTTTTTTTAAAATTTTGAAAAATTCAACATAATGGTTTGAAAAGTCTAACGTAAACCTTTTCAAATGAAACTTCGATTTAAAAATATTTTCGAACCCTCTGGACAAGTAAAATAGGATGTAATGGATAATTTACACAACAGGTAGGACACTTAAACATCTAGTACATAGATAGAGATATTATTTATTTTCTTGAGCTTTCAAGCCAGCATGAGTGTTATTGTCCCTTTAAGGATATGTTGATTATGTTCGATGACAGTAACTCATTCAAACCTAAAATATGATGTTTTCTAAGAAGCAGGAAAAATTAAACGATAGTTCTAGCATGAAATGAGAGTATTTCACATTTACAATAGATAGAACACAGACAAGGTGTACCTACCTACATATGCCGGAGTATTGTAAACTGTGTCTGCTTGTATAGTTACACTGTAAAAACAACATGCTTCTGTATATGATGTTGGTAAGATTTGAAATAATGAGGGCTTGCATATGACGGGTGTAGTAATTATCAGACGGCACAGTCTACTGTGTGGCACGCTGTTTGAAAACGACAAAATGAGGAACTTTTTTAAAAACAGTTTATTCAAAGGAATGTAAATAATTCGAAGGGGGAAAAAAAACTGATAGTTGGAATTGGATGACGAGTAGGCGGAAACGGATCTGTCTCTGTCGATTCAAAATTTCCCTCATTGCACGGCTTAATATATATTTACACATAATATTTTTGTATTATTTTATTACTAACAGATTATATGTTTAATAGATGTTCAATTGGGATATATCATATAGTATTATATGTTTTATTTGTTTTCTTTCAATATTTACAATAAAATCTGGAAATGTCTTTCTTTTTTACTTTTTGGTGCATGTAAATATTGACTACCCCATTTCCTGAAAGAATATTAGAGAAAAGGGAGATAATTCATATTGATTTTTCCCTGGAGAATCTGCAACTACTGCTCCTTAAACCACCCAAAATGTATGTTGTTCTTAGTGTTTATCGCAGACAAGTTGTCATATTTTCATTATCTGAGTGCATGCGCATTTCTTGTGGGAGCGAACCAATGAATTTGAGAAAGCGCCCCTATCTCCAAGCCACATTCGCTCACACCAGGGATCGAAACCATGACCGGCCAGCTAGAGTTTGAAACGCGACACTCTAGACCAGTGTGCCGCGAAATTTTTAACGGGACGCTAAGAAAATGCAAAAAGCCAGTGATCACAATAGAGTATTCACTGGTGTCTAGCTGTGTTTTCTTTATTTAGTTTGAGTCATTCTATGTGTTTATGACTAGTCTCTGTCTACGGTTGTATGCCGTATGACTTATCATGTTTTTATTTTGCAAAATTTTTCATATATATTTTGTCAGGTGTGCCGCTATTTTTTCATGTGTTCCAAGGTGTGCCATTGCCAAAAAAAGGTTGAGAACCATTGCTCTAGATCACCCCACCAACCACCCAAGACATATATATGAATAGCTCTCCATATTCTAGGACCGTTTACTGGTTCTTAAGAGTCACCACAGACGTTGTTCGAACAATAAAGAAAACAAAATAGTCAAATAATTTTTGTTTCATTTATTTCCAAATATACATGAGCATTGTTTGACAGAATAACCTACTACCAGTACATATTTTGTAAAGATTGAATCAATTTCATAACAGTTGTTGCATCAATTTGAATAGCATTAAACATAAATGCAATCTACTGTAAACTTTATGACAAACTTGAAGAATAAATTACTTTTTATTTAACAATTAAATTGATGCTGTCTTCTACAAGAATTTTAATTATTCAATATTCATATATCACTGTAACCTGTGTATCATTTAATCTTGTGTATCTAGCACTAATTTCTTTCACATTCATTTAACATCAAATCTTTGTTTAAAAATTTGTAAAAATCATTTAAAATCACCCCAAATCATTTAATTTGTACTTGTGTCCAGTTTAAAGCCAACTGATTAATTTTATTAATGAGTGTTCAATTTACAAGTATTAAATTTTCTGACTACTGTTCAAAAATTAATCATTATACATCAATAATCAATTGGGTTGTTTGTTTTTTAACAGTGATCGAGAAATTAAACACTTGTAAATTGGACACTCATTATCAAAATTGAATGGTCAGCTTTAAACTGGACACAGGTACAAATTATATGATTTTTGGTGATTTTAATCAATTTTTACGAATTATTAAACAAGGATTTGATATTGAATGAATGTCAAAGAAATTAGTACTAAATACACTAGATTAAATGTTACAGTGAGAGTACCTTTACAGTTCATGATACAAGATATACAATAACTTAAATATTTGCCAGTCAGGTGAGCCAATAATGCACATATTCTAGTACAACATGATTGCTAAATCCACTGTTAAACATAAGATAATAAATATAATTGGAATATTCGTCAGCCAGGTTTTGGTACATTATTTATTGGTATATTTAACACACAAGGTAAAATTTTATGGATACACAATTACTGAGTTTAATACTAAGCAACGTTTCAACGAGGATAATCTCGTCTTTATCATTTGTTTGATAAAGATGAGAGTATTCTCGTCGAAACATCGCTTAGTATTAAACATAGTAATTGTGTATCCATAAAATTGTACCTTGTGTTAATATGTTCAATAACTAAATGCCAATCAAAGAAGATATTAAACACACTTTACTTATAATTTTTAAATTTAAAATTTCATTGGCAAATATAAATCAAAGTTCAAAAACAAATCTTTAACAAGAGTTCATAGACATAAAACAACAAAATAATACTTCACATATTTCTTGGAGAGAATTCTTTATTTTAAGATTGAGATGAATATTTCATTAGAGAATATAAATAATGGATGAATAAATTATCTTGATTTTGGTTTATAAAATGAAAATATACAAGCCAATCTGATAAAAGAGAGAGAGAGAGAAATTGGGTTTAACGTCCACTCGACACAAACTAGGTCATTTCGGGACTAACATATGGTTCAATTTATTTCAATAATTCACTTGCACGTAGGGGTCCTTAAATTAGCTGCGGGAGGAAACCGGAGGAGCCGGGGAATCGAAACCTTGCCAGTTGACTCAATGACAGACCTTATGATACAACACGCAGATGCTACTAATCCGATAAATGAAAACTTGTGGTCGTTTTATTTTCAATGTGCTTAATCCTTGAATGCCATTCAAGTATCATTTTGACATTTTAGATGTTAGATCTCATATGGATAAAATCTAGGTCACCAGTTTGGGAAGAAGTATTTATAGTAACTCCAATGTTAAAGATGCATTATGTAAGATTTAGATAAAGAGCTGTCGGTCCTTGTTATAATAATTCAAAATCTATGTCATCAATTAGGGAAGAAGTTATTACAGTAACTCCAATGTTAAAGATGCCTTATGTAAAATTTTGATAAAGAGCTGACTGTACTTGCTATAATAGATAATGAAAAATGAATAAATGAAAAATTCCATTCAATTTACTTTATTCTGATTGAATAAATAGATGTAGCATAGTTTGTTTATTACTGTAGCAATGGTACTGGATAAACAATACTAAAGGCTTTTTTATCGACTTGCCAAATCGATTTGAATTTAGTGTAGATGTCATGTGACAGTATAGTCGATTTCAAAGTACTTTGGCGAGTTCGTTAAATGCTCCGATTAGCTGTAAACAATTGTTGTGGCTGGACACAGTTGAAAAAAACACGTGATCACCCGATCAAATCGTCAAATCGCACCCTGAAGTGATTTGGCGATTTGATGTAATCGCTTCGGAAATCGGTGTCGATAAATTCGTTGATTAGGGTAACCAATTTGAATTAGATGGACGTTAAAGATGAAAATTTGATTGAATGCAAATCACTTTGGCTAATCAGTGGTCGATAAAAACGCCTTAAGTCTAGATTATCCATTTTATCATTAAAATTTTAAAATTTTGTGGGTTTTCAAATCCATTTAAATCTCTGCCATCCGATGATCTAGAGAGTTGATTATAAGCTTGTTATTTTAATAAATGTCTAATTAATAATTTATATTACCTTTGAACCAAAATAAAGAGAGAGAGAGAAAAATGGGGTTTAACATCCACTCGACACAAACTAGGTCATTTCGGGACTAACATATGGTTTAATTTTTATTTACATAATTCGCTTGCGCGTAGGGGTCTTTAGCAGTGGGAGGAAACCGGAGGCCCCGGAGAAAACCCACGAGGTTGGACAGGCGACCCTACTCCTTGCCACGTACAACCGGGGATTCGAAACCACGCCAGTCGACTCAATGACAGACTTTATGATACAGCGCGCGCACGCTAACCATTCAGCCATCCAACCCCCCCGAACCAAAATAAAGAAGACTCTTGTAATAGGCAGATTTAGCTCTTACATAATGCATCTTTCAGTATAAGTAAAATATTTGATATATAGATCAGGTTTAGAACATACACCAGTCTTAATTCAATGATTTAACGTCTTCCCTTTTTACCACGTTTTTTATTGGCCTGACCAGGCCGCTGTTGTCTTGGTCCTTCTGAAACACTCGGGGATGCGGCACTTCTTGGTGAACTGGCTGCGGGTGAGGCCTTACTGGCATCCCTGATAATAATAAAAATAAATAGTATAGAGTATATATCATCAACAATTTCTCCATCACAAAACCTAATAAGTAAGAAACTAAAATTTCTTAACATTGAGAAATAGATAAGTCTCGTGAAAGGTCAAATGACAACCAAAGTGGAATGTTTTCAGAGACCTCTGTATCACACTATATTATTATCTGAAGAGCTTAGACAAGACTAGATTAAGTTTCCTGTTGACCACTGTTACTGTTAGGTAAAATACTAAGATCTGATAAAGATGTTGATTTTGACTTTAATTCTCTTGAATCATTTTCAGACTAACATATTCGAAATTTCATTTTCTTCATTTCTATATGTGCAATTGTGGGAGTAGGGACTATTATCAGAAGAGCGGTGTTTCCACCCATGTTGTTTTCAATTCCAAGAGATTTTCTATGTGCACTACTAAATGTGTACAGGGGACCTACTGACTAGACACATTTCTATTTTGCCCTAGCTTAAGTTCAAGTGGGGTATACAGCGGACCGAATGACTTGTTGACCCTAGTTCATGTACAGGTGGGGTATACAGGGGACCGAATAACTTGTTGACTCTAGTTGACATACAGGTGGGGTATACAGGGGACCGAAGGACTTGTTGACTCTAGTTGATGTACAGGTGGGGTATATTGACATGATATGATAAAAAGTTTACTTACATATCACCTGCTGGACCTGAACTACCTTGAGTTCCTTTACCTTAAATAAATAAAAACAACACTTGAAAAACCTTAATCTAATGGCAATAAATAAATCAGAGTTGTCCAGATGGAGAGAGAGAGAGAGAGAGAGAGGAGGGTTTCATGTTGACATGATACAAACTAGTTCATTTTGGAACTAACATATTATTTCAATAATTCACTTACACGTAGGGGTTTAGAGCAGTAGGAGCAAACTGGAGGAACTGGAGAAAACACACCTGGTAAAGTGGTGGACACAATAGACGAATGATTTGGCCTAATTGTTCGGCCGAATCAATCGGGGTCGAAATTCGCCTAGTGTGTCCACTGTCATTCGGCCGAATGATTCGCCCAAATCAAACAGGTTTGATATATTCGTCCGAATTATATTCGCCTGGTGTGTCAGCTTCGCCGAAGCATTCACCCGTATATAGAATTCATTAGCCAATCACCACTCATATCGAGAAGTCACGTGATAGTTTGAAGACCTAGACGCCGCCATGTTTAATCATGTGACGTGAAAGGTGATGCAATTGACAGGTTGAATAGG